CTCGAACATTTCCCAGCAAGCATGCAAACCACAACATAGTTCAGGTGTACTCAGAGGTACATCCATCCCATGACAACAGCTTTCCATACGACAAGGCACAACTAATGGCCATGAAACTGTCTCCCAGGCTTTAAACAAAATTCTGCCTCTTAGGGCCCATCATCAGTTAGAGGCAAGAGCAGAAGCTAGCACACAATCTCTCCCGTTCAGGATGAAGTTAGAGAAAGCTTTCCTAATTTTTCTAGGCTGGAGTCTGGATATGTAGGAAAGTATGTGGTGCCTTTCCATCCCAGCCTGCTTACTCATTTACTTTTAGTGTGGAAGAGGCCAACTTTTTTTTCCATGGCTAAGACAATGGTCGAAGCACCACCGTTACAGAACACCTAGCCCTATGAGGTCTGGATGGCTGCAGCTTTTATTAACATTCATAGCATCTGGAAGCTTTAAAAAAATCCAGCAGATTTTAAATTTCCCAAGGCAAGCTGGTTTTAGTCTAAAATTGAAATGTATTTCCCGTACATATTTTTTGAGCTTTAATATATATACTAATCACTCACACACACACACATGCATACACAGTATGTATATCCTGATACTTTATTTAATGCTGTCTGACTCGTAGAATACTACAAGTACATGTGTACTAAAAAGACACATTTTAATAAAAGCAAGTGAAATTAGAACAATAGGTAGTTTTGGTGTGTGACAACATTCAAGTGTAAACCAGAGTTTAGAAAAGCTGTAGTCTAAAAAGCAACTTATCCAAGCTTTGACACAAACTGACAGGTCAGCATAAGCTTGCTTTCCTACCTACAGATAAATGGCCAGTTTGTTCACAGTTTGCTCATGTCGCTTTAAATTAATAGGTCTGATCTCTACTCCTTTTCATCCTAACATTGCCAAACCAGTGGGAAATGGCAGAGTAAGCAACCAAACCTATTCTGGCCAATTTTCTGCCTGCCATTTTTATCCTGGGACAGTGCAGGCCAAATTTGTCACCACTCTACATGGTCATCTACAATTTTGCCCTTCGTGCCCCTTGGTTACCTGCTATCAGCATGCATGTACCAACACAATTCCAAATTAGCCATTTATTTCTACATAGTTTTCAACTCTTTCCCTTAAATCAACATTCTTAACAAACAATCTTGAGGAAAAAGAACAGGAAGAGAAATATTTGAAGCTTATGCAAAAACCCAAGAAAGAATATGCACTGTGCTTACTGCTTCTAATGAGGCCTCAACAGGAATTTTCCCACCCTGTTTACCACAGCATGGGAGATTCAACTGATAGCTTGGGCAATCTCTACTCTTGTGAGCACAGAAAAAAGGCCATCCTTGCTAAAAACAGATTTGGCACTTACCAGAGCCCTCCCAGGGCGAGGCCACTGCTAATAGCTCTCTTTGCATCAAAATCCACAATCCAAATCACATGGAAAGAGTAACAAAGGGAAATAAGTTAACACATTGGAGGGAGGAGTTTTGCATTTTACAATGTCTAGCTAAAATCTGTTTCCCAGGGTCTGTTAAGGCAGGGCTTGAAATTTTCTTTCATGGTCATTCCATATATGCCAAAGATGCTACTGAGATTATGAAACATCAAACTAATGTTTTTGAGACTCAGAGTTTCCATATGCAGTTACATAAGAGGCACTAAAAACATTTTATGCATTTAGCATAAAACTTTATAGACAAGCTGTATGTCTGTTACAGGAAAATCTTTACTAATGCTTGTAAAATGCCAGTTTGAAGGGGAATGCACAATTCCACAATGCATGCAATATAAGCCAGAGGGTAGTTTATAAACCTGTGACTGTGAAGTGATTGTTGGAATTTGGACTGCTATCACTGGCCATACTAGCCTCCCTACGTGGGAACGCAAGTCCAGGAATAACCTGGAAGGCAACAGAATCTCCAGCTCTGATATGGACCAGCAGGACTTCAGACAGAAAACCAGTATTTGGAAAGACATAGAGATATGAAACAGATCCAAAAGACTCTGCTAGGGCAAAATATTCGAAGATCTCCACAAGCCTGCTTAGTTCTCTCAGCCCTTGTAGGACTTGAAGCTTAAGAAACAGACTTATGTCCCAAGCAAAGTAAACACAGTGATATAATGAAATATGAAATGTCTATCAGTTTACATTCCCACTACCACCAGGCACCAACAACGGTTGTGTGCACATATTAACAGAAGAGGGTACAGAACAAAAATAGCACTGGGAGTGGTGGAAAGGGTCCTTTTTGTTTTGGTTGGCTAGGAAATCCTTAGCTTTCCAGGTCTGTTCTGGGTTCATGATCTTTCATTGTTGTATCTGTCACGGCAGGACGACACAGGGACCTTTCATTTTAAGCTCTTTGTTAAAGGTTTGTTTGTCACAATATAATATAGAATGGATTCGGGCTTCTTGGCATAAGGCACTCAAAGCACACCAAGCATTCATCTAACATTAAACAAACACAGCCTTAGTGAAGTATTAAACATTCCTCAAATACACTTTAATTTTCAGCTAATGTTTCAATCTGGAAAAAAAAAATAAGATTCACTCTTCTAAGCAATAAAACATTTGTTAATTTAAATTGTAAGTGCCAGAGGCCATCAAATATCCTCATAAATGGGTCCTACCTGCTTCCCTCCCTGCTGCCCCTCAGACTAAAGCAAAGGTGGTAGACAGCCTTTAATAAAGCTTTGGACAGCTTCAGATATTGACCTCCAGCTGTAACTGGACTGTTGATCCCATAATCCCTTGCCCTTGTCTATACTGATAATGGCTGTTGGGGAGTTCTGCAGTTCATTAGCATCTGGATAGCAACAAATTGCCCACCCTAAATGTGAGCCAAATATTGGTGCTTTGGCTTTTTCTGATAGGTTGATTCCTGCCAGCTTTCCTGGTTTCAGGTGCCATGTTCATGTGTCCGTGTGACACCAAGAATGTTTAATCTGTACTTTGGACTGTTTCCATTCCGAACAGACTTGACTGAATTACTGCCACATGCCTCCTTCAACCCTCTCCAAACAAGTGCCTAATTCCCTGATGAGCTCCTTGAAGTTGTGTAGTGAGATTTCCCAATAAGGTGCCCTAAGCTAGTAAGAGCAAACACAATAGCAGATTCAGGCTTGTTGGTTATTAAATATTCAAACGGAAACTATACCCAGAATTTAGGGGTGGATGGTGGAGGAAATGCCATAGCCAGACTGTTTATATATTAGGCTTTTTAGACTAGATTATGCTGTTTCGCATCCTATCATGGCCTTAAAAAAAGAGTGGGGAAAGTCAAACCACTACCTCCCATAGTTATAGAGAAAATGTATGAAATGCTTCTGGAGATTAGAAATTGTGACTGCAGTGATCTGTAAAATTCCTAATTCTCATGTAACTCCACCTGACCTTGGAAGTCACTAAGCTACTGAACACACTGTTTGATGTATTTCTTTCTATTCTTCCTGCCAATTCTTGGAAGCAAAATGAGCATGTGGAGTTGAGATTACATTTTTATTTTTAAAAAGCAAGTGCCATCTGTTTTCACTGAAAAACCGTAGGGATTTTCACTGAAACACTCAAATATGTTGCTCCCACATTTTGAAGTTTTAGCTTTTGGCTGCAGTTGGGTTTCTAGGCTTGATAGAACACACGTTATAAAGTCTGCCTGGATCATCTTAGCAGCATTGCTTGGCCCAATGCTGCTACCCATCTGTAACAGTCAGGCAACAGTAACCAGGCCAATCAGAACAGACTAGGTAGAAAAATGAAGAGATGTGAAATAGACAGAGAGGTCAGAGGGTGTGGAACTTTCATGGGAGAACGAACATACGAAATGTAATACTACTGAGTATTTTATTTTATTATTTTCTAGTCATTTGGGGGACTACTGCAATGCTCTCTACGTGGGGCTGCCCTTGGTGCTGTCATGGAGACTCCAGCAGGTCCAGAACCCAGCTGCCAGATTGCTAAGTGGGGTGAGGAGATATCAACGTATTTCCCCCACCCTGGCTGCCCTACACTAGCTATCTGTTCATTTCCATGCCAGCTTCAAGGTAATGATGTTAACATACAAAGCCCTAAACAGTTTGGGACCTCATCTGGTAGAACGCCTCCTTCTGACTAGATGAGCCCAACCAGCAAGATCTTCCCAGGCTGGGTGGTTGAGGGTTCTAACCCTTAGAGAGGCTCTGAAATCAATGACTAGAAACCGGGCCTTCTCGGTGGTAGTCCCACAATTGTGGAAGGCTCTCCTGTCCGAAATTCACCCAGCACCCTCACTGGGAACTTTCAAGATATTATTAAAAACATTCTTTTTCAGACAGGCCTTCTCGGACTCTCCTTTATCCTGATGTAACTGATATGTTCAACCCCACCATCTTTTTCCTTTTTATGTTAATGTTTACTGATACTATTTTTGTTTCATTTTGTATTGATTAATTTATACTTTATCCTGTTACTATACTGTCTGCTTTATATTCTGTTTTATTATCCCATGTAAACCACCCAGAGTGGCCTGGGTTGCCAAATGGGTGGTATATAAATCAAATAAATAATAATAAATAAAAAAATGTAGCCTAAATACTAGTCATATTACCTCCCCAGGGTTCAGAGGCAGCATGTCTCTGCATATTAGTTGCAGGCAAACAATGACAAAAAAGAGGTGTTGCCGTCTTGTTCTCCTTGCATGCTTCCAAAATATTTCAGACTGTCTACTGTAGAAAATGATTCCCAGTGTGGTGTAGTGGATAGAGTGATGGCTAGGACTCTGGAGAACAGCGTTTGATTCCTTGCTCAGACAAGGAAAATAATTCAGGGATTGGAGTTGATTAAAAAAAACCCATTCCTTAAATATCTCACCTTGAAAGCCCTATTAGGGTTGCTATAATATATATATGCAATTAAACAAGCATGTATTGTACATATTCTCTTTCAAATACACCAAATTAAAGATAGTCTAGCCTGTGACAATGTGGGGCCTCAGGCAGAAAACTGGGTGAAATAATAGTGGAAGAATGGAAACATTTAGCACAAACCCCATAAAAGGGAACTTTATTAAACTAGCAAGATAAACTCAGAAAGGTATAAATGATCCATTAAATACAACCAGTTCATTTTTACACATACTTATACAGTATAGAAATTTACTTACACTTTCCAAACATGTTACATTTAAATTATTTTTTTTCTTTTCAAGCTTACTACCATCAAAAGGTAATAAAAATCTGCCACCTGCTCTTGCAGATGAGAACACAACAGTAGGGCCAAATAGACAGCATTTAACCTATAAAGCAGTGGTTGGCAACCTTGGGTCCTCAGATGCTCTTAGACTACAACTCCCAGAAATCCTGGCCAGCACAGCTACTGTCAGTTTTAGTTCCAAGAACATCTGGAGAGCCAAGGTTGTGAACCACCACTATAGAGGTTGGATAACCCAAAAAGCTTATAAAACCAAAACCAAGGATTCTATCCCAAGGCCTTTACTACAAGAGGGGATTAAACCAATCATCACACTGTGTAACAAACTGTGTGGAGGGCCCAATTCATGTCATGTGGACATACTTTCTAGGGAAGTTTCTGAAAACTGTTTCCACAAAGGAAAAAGTTAAGGCCATGAGCTGTTTGAGTCAATTTTCAGTGTCAGTTGTCATATCTGTGTCATATCATATCAACAGCAAGCAGTGTGCTGTTGCTGACACACCTATATTAAGTGAAGGGAAGGAAAAAAAAGCAGGAGTGCTGAAGATAAGGTGTCAACCAACTGAACATAAATTCTCTAAATATTTCCATTGCAAGACAATTCAAAAAGGGTTTTCATAAATGAACAAGATGGCTGCTATTTAAGAAAAAGAGGCTAAACAGCAACAGCCAGTTTCCCCACCTACATGTATTTACCTGGAAAGGGACCAAGGAGAAAGCAGAACACGTAGCAACAAGTTCCCCTCTCAGAACACTATATCTTAAACTGACCTTTCTGCAGTGAACTATTTTTTTTAAAAAGAAGCTTATCAAAAAGTTTAAAAAGTAGTGTTAAAAATCTGTATCTGAAGCAAATCAAGCTTATTTTTTAAGCCTTTTGCAATGCATAAAAAGGAACCTGCATGTTTCATGCCAACTGGTCATTTTGATAAAGAAAAGAGGCAGCGGGAAAACCAAAGGCTCTATCTAATTAGAGCCATAGCAGCATTTTGAGTCACTTGACAGTAGTTAAAAACCAGTGGAAACAAAAATTGGCAGGAAAAGTGCTCTGCAAGAGGTTGCAGCCCTTCCAGGTTTCAAGCTGCAGCATCTGTGATATGTATCATAAATATGGCACTTTTGTATACCAAAAGCTGGCAGGATTGCAGGTGACTGCTCAGCAAGCTAAGCTACCTGTAGTCATACTCCCTAACTACTACCTGTGGTTTCTCAAAGACACAGCCTTCAGTTAACCCTACTAATTCCAGCACCAGTCATTCCATGGACTATACTACTTGTACATGCAAGGCAGTTCTACCACACTCATGGAGAATAAACATTCTGCCCAGCAGAGTTTCCCCTCTTTCCGACAGATAAACATACAACTTAAAAACATGCTGTAAATTCTTCAGAGGAGAGAACAACCCAACCACAGAACAGTCGTGTCCTACTTTACCACTTTGTAGGCCAGTGGTCCTGGGTATCCAATTGCCAGCAATGGACTTTGCAACAGACACAATTTATTCTTTGACCCCAAAGCTACTCAAGAAGATTGGCACCTATTTCCCACGCTTCTTCCAAAAGGAACTCGTTTTGCATTTTCAGAACAGAGTGGTTATACAACAACTGGCCATAATCCCCTAGTTCTGTTTTCTTTTCCTTTCACGGGACAAAAGCTTTGTGTTAGCACAACATTTCCTGACCTGGTGCATTCCAGGTGTGCGTTGGACTACAGCTCCCATACCAACAAATCCTCCATGCTTCATGGGGATGATCAGGATGTTGTTCAACACATCTTAGAGTGGAGGCACGCCAGGTTGGGAAATACCACCATAGCATGTAAAATTCATGTAAGGGTACTCTCTCTCTCAAAGCAAGTTAACTTTGTTACATCACAGTAGTTTGAATACATTCAGTTCAGGCATACAGAAGGATCCACATAACGTACCTTAATTTGCATTTGTTACTATGAATGCAACATTACTTTAGGAGATATTTCACAACAGAAATATTCAGTTTCAAAAGAGCTAGCTTTCACATTGCACATTGTCAGCCAATACAACCCCCTTTCTTTTCAAAAGTGATTCAGTAGCTTTCCTATGGTTGTTTGGTTTCCATCTTTACATTTCAAGGAGGCTGGTCTTTCCATACCAATTTGTTCCCTTAGCATGGGTTCTGCTAGTTTAACACTTTGAAGCTCATTGTTGTCAGAGTCCCTTTTGACCATTCTCGCACTGTTTGCTCTTTTCAGTGTGCTCCCACCATTTTCCTTTGGATTAGAATCATCAGAGGCTGCTGTCATTCTCATCCTAGGCAGCCTTTGAGACAGAGATCTTGTAAGGGTTGGAGCTTTGGAAGCGGGTGCTAAATCCACACCCTTTGCACATTTGGAGGAAGAGGCCACTGTGTTCCTTGCAAAGCTTGGAACAGGAGCTGGTGTCTTGGGAACAGCAACAGTTGTGCTTTTGGTAGCCTCTGTAGGGGATTGTGGTTTGGGCAAGGAGCGGCACATTTTTGTTTCATCATTTTTTGACTTGGGCACATATCTGACTGGTTTAGAGCTTGGCTTTTTGAAGGATCCTTTGTGCTGAAGTGGCTCCTTCTCAAAATGGCCACTGCTTGAGGTTGCAGTTCCCCGCTGGAACTTTGGCTCCTCTACAGATATGCTTTGCCTATACTGAGGTTTTGGCATTGTATCAGCGCTGCCCCGAATGGAGTTACGCCGCGACAACCGTGTTTCAGCAACGTTGGTGTCCCGAGCTGCTGGTTTAGCTTCTGGCTTTTTTGTACAAGTAGGGGGTACTGCTTTAGTTGACCTGGAAATGGGTACTACTTTTCTCATGCTTGCATTTTCTGATGTATTTAGAGTTCTGACTGGTCTAGAGTGATTCGAAGGACCAGTGGTGGGTTTAGTGGAACTTGAAGATTTCTCTTTCAGAGAATTTCTCTTTGGTCCTAACCCATCTTTGCTTCTTGCTGATTTTTCCTTTGGAATACCAGCCTTACTGCCAGAGTCATCTTTATCATTAGGGCATGAGCTTATGATAGCATTCCCACCAGTTTGCAGATCATTCATAAAAGGGACTATGAAACCATCCTTCCTGTTTACTTTATTGCCATCTAAGTTTGGATTGTTTTCTTCTGACAGGTCAAGTGTCAAAGAACAGTCAGAAGTATCTGAGACGCAGAACGGTGGTCCATTTGCCTTAATTCCCGAAATGCTATTGTCTGAAGAGACTGAGCTATCATTGTTGGGCTCTGGAGCATCATTAACATGAGTTGGCAGTTTAGCAGTATGTTCACCCTTATAAGCAGCCTCTTTAGACTTTCTGAAAGCTGGTATTGGCCGACTTGTAACACTAAGAGAGTATAGGCTTGAGTCATCCACAGTTTCCAAATCTCTCACACTAGTCCCCAAATGAATGTCAGATAGATCATCCATGTCATTTGCTTCACTGAGGTCAAATTTACATGATCCGGGAACAAATTCAGAGTTTTCAAGAGACGCATCCCAAGGAACTGCTTCTGTTGATTCCATACAGGGCACATTAAATGTGTACCTGTCACTGCTAGCATTCTCTTGATTATTATGGGAGTTAACACGGGCACCAGCTAACTCCTCAAGCGCTTCTGTGTGCTCTGACTGAGACAGAGGTAACTGGAAGTAACTGCAGTCTATACCTTCTTCAGATGACTGCTCTAAGTGAGAGTTACTTAAACTGAGATCTCCAGAGTCTTTAGTTTCAACCCAAGCGACACTGGGTCTTGCTTGACCTGCACGAGGAAGGCTGTTGGACTTGCTTGTATCTTCACCCTTTGAGGTCTCCAAGAACATCAACAGTTCTCTGTCTGCACTAACTCCCAGGGAATGCCGGGAGCGCCTGGTGCTAGCATTTCTGTAGGAAGGGCTTTGGGGTCTTTGCTGCAAGAAGGGAAGAAATTCTTCCAGACCTCTCTTTGTCAGTGTCCCAACATCACTCTCACTGCTGCTTCTGCCAAAAGCTCCAAGTTCAGCCGTGACCCATGATCTACGTTTTTCTTCTATCTCCTTCAATCGTTGTAGTTGCTGAAGTTCTTGGGTCTCTCTTTCCTTGTTTTCCTGTTTAGAGGAAGAGAACAAGAACACATTACAGTTTTAAAGATGGAACTGTGAGCATATTTTAAAGTTTTCTCTGTATCAGTTCTCTTTATTCCTCCCCTCATTTTTAGCTTGGCTCTTGAGTATTAATTACCATGGCAACCATTTCATTCAATTATGTTTTGTACTTCAAAAATATTTCATTATTTTCTTGTTTCATAATCATGCATTTAGATCTGCCAATGATATTGATGAATTATTTCATTATGCTCCAGCTTCTTTTCAAAATACAAGAACTCAAGAAGCAAGCTGGGATATTGTACAAAGGTCTGTTCAAATCCCGTTCAATAAGCCTCCCATATAGAACCCAAGCAAACCAATTTAACTAAATGTGGCAAGTTTAGATTTTGTTTGCATTTATATAGTGCATGCTTGAAAACTTAAGATCTGCAAGTGATCCATACTTTTACCATGCATTTACATCTCCTCCCTAGTACTCATTTTAGATTATTATTTTGAGCAGTCCAAAGTGTCAATTTATTTAAAGCAGAACCACAGACCCTTGGACCCTCTTGATGGTCTTGATTACTATGCACAAAATTTCTTACTACTTGTTATCTTAACTGGGGCTTTTGGGGAGTTGAAGTCCAAAATATGGGAAGGTCCGAACAGCCCCCATCTTTGCTCAAAAAGCTAAGGATTCTAAGGACACAGTACATGAAGATACTGAACAAAAACTTCAGTGGGTCCAAAATGCAGCAGCCAGATTGGTGACTGGGGCTGGTCACAGCGATCACATAATCCCCCTGTTACAGCAGCTCCACTGGTTCCTGATCCCTTTCCAGACACAATTCAAAGTGCTGATTCTAACCTATAAAGCCTAAAACATTTTAGCTGTGTTAAGGACTATCACCCTTTATGAGCTGGCTTGAGTATTAAGATCATCAGTAGAGGCCTTTCACCTTCACAGGTGTGTCTGAGGGAACACAGGAAAGGACCTCCTCTGTTGCTCCTCCCAGACTCTGGAACTCCCTCCCACAGGAAGCCAGATTGGCCCAGTCTCTGCTTTTCTTCCGCAAGTAGACAAAGACTTTGCTCTTCAGAGAGGCTTAGTGACTATCTGTCCAAGAGAGGTTTTTGAACAGATTGTTGTGCCTTGTTGCTCTGCATGTTTTTTTGGTTTTGATTTTATTTTCTGTGGTAATTGTTTAATTCTTTTAAAATCGTTGTATACTTACTGTTTTTCCATTTTAAATATTATCTTTTACTGATGTAAGCCACCTTGGTTCTTTTTTAAGAAGAAAGGTGGGATAAAAATATTTTAAACAAACAAAATATTTTTCTTGCACTTTCTTAAAAGGAATCTTTCTGTATAATTTTCAAACCTTGCATATAAAAGCAGTGAAAAGAAATCTAGTGGTTTGGGATCAATAACAATTGAAACCAGTTCCTCAAAATCTAAAAAAAAATTGAGGCATTCAACACATGGGTCACGGGCACCATTTTATGCATTTTATTTTCAGCACCATATTTTCAGATAGCAGCATTTTTATTTTGGGAAGCGATACTGGTTTCATGCCCCCAAATGTATGTTAAGAACAGATGTTTTCTACTGTTCAATGCCACACATGCATGACCTTCTGGATTGAAGGAGACAAACACTCTTCAGTATACAGAGCTGTCTCCAGGCACTTTGCCTATTGTCATTATAAAAACACAGCAAAGATTACAGTGTTTGCATGCCAAAGGCATAGAGGTTAATCATGCAGCTTATTTCTAGAAAATGGCTGGTGTTTTCTTGCCCATTTCCAAGGTAGCAGAACAGCAGCATGGCGAGACAGGAAATATGCCTGATAATGTCAATTTCAATTTAAACAAAATACAAATTAAATAAAAATGTGTGATTTCTCATATTAAAGCAGGAGGAAGGTTTCAATTATATCCAATTTAAACAAGATAATAATCATCTGCTGTCAAGTCAATTCTGACTTATGGCAACCGTTTTTTCAGGGTTCTCCAGGTAAAGAGTACTGAGAAGTGGTTTACCACTCCCTTCTTCTGCGGACATCCGGGGACTGCGCATGGCTCATGGCTACATAGGCTGGCTCTACTCACAGGAGGCACAGTGGGGAATTGAACTCCTAACCTCAGCCTCTGCAGCCAGATACCTAAACCACTGATCAATAAAATATCTGTAGCAGCAAAACATTTGGCTTGAAGTTAGAAGAGGGCAGCTTTCTCATCAGAATTGACAAGTATCCTACAAACTAATCTAATCTTCTTCCATAGTATTACATAAAGGATTAACTGTATAAGATTAGCCAACAGCAAATCACTTTAATGACCCAATAATAATAAGATATTCCAGTACTTTGTTGAGTACTGTGTCCTCCTTACCTTAACAGCTTTTGTGAACCTTAGGCAAAAATCCCTGAATATCTGAAAGCACTCCTCCAGTTTCATTGTTTCTTTATCTTCACATAAGAAGTCTATAAGGGCATGTGCTTCCTTCAGCAAATCCCGTTTCCAGTGTTCTAAGTCTTTTAGTTCTTTCACAGCAAACTTTTAAACAAAACCAAAGCACACATTAGATTCCAACAGAGATTGAGAAATGGCCCATATTTAATACTCTATACATATATACATGGGCTAATTTCAGCATGGGTAAAATCCTGGATTAAAAAACTGTGGCTAGAGATCACAGGGCTACAGCACTGAGAGTGGTATGATACCTTTGGGGTATTCATAGACTTTTTATCCCTGAGGCCAAACAGGCTTTTCCAGTATTTTGAAACACTACTCAAACCTGCAAGAACATTTTATTGCATGGAATAATAGGATACTTGTATGTATCACAGACAATGATGCTTCTGTACTGCCACTTTCAATATTTTGGCTCCTGACAAAAAGGCAACCACTGAACATTGTTCAAATAGGATATTGAAAGATGACATTTCCGTGAAGAGACACAGAAAAGCCAAGCTTTCACTTTCTAATAAAGTAGAAAGTAGGCAAATAAAATTAAATTTATGACACATTTGCAGCTAGGCTATAACACATAGAATTTAGCTGCAAATACAGGTGGGAAGTAGTAACATAATCTTGATATATTTAGAAATTTAATACATGTTTTAACATACTACACTAAGGTTCAGTTGCTGCTGTCCAATTGCCTGAAAGGAGTTAAAATGCAGGAGTCAAACTTTTTTGTCAATTATTTCACAGTTTACCCAAAATGGGTGCTTGATTTATTTCACCAATCAAATTCTCATCAATTCTGGCTTCTTTCACTAAAAACCCATTTCCTCAAATGTTACATAAGGCTATACAAGTAGTGTTTCAAAGGCCTTTGCTAAACAACAGGTAGCTAGGATGTTAAGCCAACAAATACTAATGAGTTTAATCCATTACTATTTTCCATCTCCTCAGTGAAGACAAAGGTATAGTGCACTTCATGTGAAATCTGTGGCACAAAGTAGGCTAAAGGAAAGCAAGTAAAGGAAAATAACCTAGCTTGAAGAAGTAAGACAATAATCTGGAGAAGAAACATGCACCAAAATAGATCCTGCTAAACACAGTGCAAAATAGAACAAATTTCAGTTAGCATTACAAGGCTGCTGGTGACTGTTGGGAACTATCACATAACAGTGGAATTTATTTCAGAAGTTATTTTCTAAAGAAAATGTTTCTGCAGGGACCACTGATGTGTGTTTCATCCACAAGCGATATGTTTAGATCACCAGGTCTCTGTATTTTGATAGTTTTTCCAATTCTTTATTTTCAGCTCTGGCATCCCCTGGAATTGCAATGTAAATGATCCAGACATTTCTGTGCATTTATCAATTTCAAATTTCATTTGAATATCTTCATTAAATTTCTGCAGTATGTTTAGCAGTGATTCTATCTCAGTGGAACTTTCAGCATATAGTTTTAGATCATCCGTGTATAACAGATGATTGATTTTTCTTGCTTGTTCTGAAACAGGAGCATGCATTATATGAACAAAAAAGGATGGGGGGGGGAGAACTATTGCTGTTGCTGTTGTTACACCTTATGCTGACTCCGTCTATCCAAGCAGTCTCAAAACTGGTTAGCAACAATTCTCGAGAGTTTGAGCCTGAGAACTCATTCATCCACAGCAGGAACTTGATGCCAGATGTTTTGGACCAACTTTGGCCCTAATGCCTGGGGTTTCTGGGAGTAGAAGTCCAAAACACTTAGTGCAGCAGAAGTTCCATAAAGGCACCAACAATCTCATGATAATATGCCCTTACATTAGGTGTGTTGCCTTAAGAACATTTAGTTTGAAACTCAAATTTTATTGAGACTTAACAAATATAGTTCCAGTGACAATTATTTGATCAAGATAATACTACAACCATAGATTTTAAGAAGATTAGCTTGGTTATTCCCCCCCCCCCCCCCAATCCTTCTTTGTTCCTATAATGCATGCACGCAGGCACATACAGAAAAAACAGGATCTTTCCAGCACTTTTATTTGTTTAATAAAAGAACATTCTTTGAAAATGAAGAGTGACAGAGGTGTATTCAGCTTTGTTTTCTTGGTGACTTCTCTTACAAAGCAGAAACTCAACTGGGAGCCTAAGGGTTTCCAAGGGATGGGGTATGTAAATGCTGCCCCCAGAAGGAGAGATAATCTTAGCTTATCACTCATCAGGGGGGGAAAAGATAGCATCCAAATCAGCTTTGTTAGTCATCCATTCCCCTCCCCCCCAAAAAGCAGTTATATAGATAAACTGGTGAAGGAACATGTAAAAAAATGGCACCATCTTTCATACTAGTATGTAATTCACACAGAGAAGCTAGCTTTTGAATCAGTTAGCCATTTTAGGGACAGAAATATTACATAAGAGAATGAGAATCACTTGTAATTAACTCCAAATTGGGAATTAGTACTAATCAAATCTGTTTGAATACAAAGTAAATATGGAAGCTACAAGAATACTGTGTCCTGATACTACAGGTTTGATGGCAATGGACAGAATACGAAGCCAAGTAACGCAAAATACAGGATCTTATAAATTGCTGAAGGCCTGTATAACTACAGTTCATTCCACTTAAATTTGAGGTGAGAATGGATCTAGAGTATTATATACCTAGTTGAAAACAATGTCAAAATCAATTAAGTCCTTTCCATTTCAAGAAGACAAAGACTGTAACTAGTACTGTATAGTCTTAGTCTGGATCCAACTCACATATCTGAAACTTTAGAATTCATAGGTCTTACAGCCATTATATAAGCTTAATATTTAACCATGGGTTATTTACCATAACATGGGCCAATGCTCCATCTAAAATTTAAAGTGTGGGATTAATGCTTGACCACAGGGCAGCACATAAAACCACTGTCTGAACTGGGTTTGCAGACCTTTATTTGGGCTAATCACATTTAAATGTTACATTTGCACCAGAAAAACCAAGTTTAAAGCCGTTTGTTGCTTTTGTAATCTCTGGCTTCTAATGTAATAAGTCTCTCTTGCTGTCCTTTCCTTCAGTATATCTCTCATGCACAGTTTAGCCTAGCAAATATAGTTTTCACTGCATGCTTGGGACTTTAACCAAGACTATTACAGTAAACATAGTGAAGCATTGGTTTACTCTGTAGGCAAGATCAGTAAACCACATATTCCATGTTACAGTTGAAGGAAGGAAAGAAAATGCACCAAGTACTTTTGTATAGGGTCAAAACAAAGGTTTTCTTCAGCTTTTAACTGCTGTCAGAAATGTTCACTCGTGGACTAGAATTACTGTATATGATGAATTATGAAAGTTAAAAGTTCCTATATTAGACCAGAGTGGATTTGACTTAAATTTGATTTAAATCACAGTTTAAATTTAAAGATTGGATTTTAAATTATTTAAATTTAAAAAAATTAATTTAAAAAATTGAAATCAAATTACTTTTTAAAAAATAATTGATATTTATTGACCCTGCATTAGAAAGATTAATTTTATAAGACTGCCAGGAACACAATTATGCAACCTGTAAAAATGTTGATCCGATAAGCTAATCAAGTGCCATTTAATTAGATAACCTATTAATGTTTTAGAAGAAACAATAGCTAATCTGTGACACTGCCACCATGCCTGTACAACTCAAATTACTATTGTACTAATGTATAGAGACAAACAGGGCTCTGTTTCCAGTCCTCTAAGTACTCTGGCAAACATTTCCCAAGAAACAAATAATGCCTGCTGTAAGGAGGGGTCAGGAGGGGGTCAAAAAGCAGCCAGAGTCTCTGAGGTTCTCTAGCAATAGCAACAAACTTTGCTTCTATTAATGAATGAAAGGTGGGATTCTTAGGAAGCTAATGGATACCCAGGACACTAGGCTAGACAATGTCCTCCATTGGACAGGACTCAGCTGTCAATTATTCTGCAAACTAACTCTATTTTAAATTGAAAATGGTGTAGAACTACATAAGGATATCAAAACAGGTCAATTACAGCTACTAAAAAGCAGAGTTATACATTTAATGTAGTGGTACAGAATGCTTTCATTATTCTTACTTTCTCATTAGTAAATTTTAACTCTGTAAGAGTGAACAACAACTTAATTAAGATCCCTCCAATTAAGAAGACATCCATGCTATTCTGAGTGATAGGCACAATGCATATATATTTCCTATACCCACTTGTATCTCTCAACAATCTATCAGTAATTTCAAAGAAGTAAAAAGCACCTGACATACCTAGCATCTTTCAAAATAAAAATGCCACTATAAGTAATGGGCTGCACTATAGGAGGAGCACTACTGTTTAAGCAACATTTTAAGATGACCAAGATTAATGTGGCTAATTAGGGCATCCGATGACAAATGCAGATATAAAAGAATACAAACTGCAGAAATCTAGACAAACCTGAAGGAAGCCTTCCATCTGTCGAAAGAGTTCTAGGTCCCGTCGAATATTGTCCTTCAGAGATTTTGTTTTGGTTGAGAGTGAATGAAGTTCAGCCTCTATATTTTCAAGAGATATTCTGCACAGGAGGAAAAAAGTAGTTACTTGCAGCAATTTTCAAAAAGTTATCTTTTTTTAAAAAAAAACTTGCTTGTTCTAACATATACTGATAAACAACATGAGCATTTTTGTTTAACAAAACTTGCATTCATAGTAACCTTCTTAAATAACATAATATACTGTAGCTGCCACTGCCTCCATAAAAAGCTGCTAAATTAGGGGTTTACAGAATTATAACAGAGATCCCAGTTCTTTCCCCTAGTAATGGAGTGGGTAAAGGAATACATGTGAAGAGCCTCATGGCACAGTGGTTAAACTGCTGTTGTGCCGCCAAAAATCTGTTCACAATCGGGAGCTTTGTTTTTTCAATCCCAGGTAGCCGGCTGGAGGTTGACTCAGCCTTCCATCATTCTCGGGTCAGTAAAATGAGTACCCAGTTTGCTGGGGGGGGGGCAATGTGTAGCCCACATAATTAACTTGTAAACCGCCCACAGAGTGCTTTAAGTGCTGGGAGGGGGTGATATATAAGCAGCACACTTTGCTTTTTGTTCATGCTCTGCTCTGCGCCTTAACAGAGCCATTTTCTGCCCAATCTGCACTCAACCCCAAAAATGACTGAGGAGGAGTATATAAGCCTATACAGTGCCACTCTGAATGTTGGACTTTAGCCTTTATGACCAAACAATGGGAATGGTTGTCCACAGAAGTGAATTAGATTAGTCAAGGGAAGCATGTTAAATCACCAAAAACAAACTGTGCCCCATAGTACTTATATTTATTAGAATCAAATGACACATCAATAAAAATATATTTTGAATAATAACTTCTAATAAGTTATTCTAGTAACAATCACCACAACCCGCTTAAAGATTAGTTCATTGTGTCTCTTAAAAAGAGAAATGTTGCAGGCATCCTTCTGTTTCCAGTGAAAATCAAACCAGAGAGCCTACAGTAAACAATTGTGGGGTCTGTTTTCAGGCCCAAAATTTGCACATGCTTTTAGCACTTGACAAAGAAAACGACCCCACGTTCTCAGCTTTCTCGCTCACCTGGCTGCCTCCTGAACATGCTTCAATTTCTCAGGAAAGGTTAGAAGGCCTTTATCTTTCTTTTGGGCTTCCTGAAACAAACAAAATGTTCCCATAACATTCCACTCTCATGTTGAAACCTATATTACACCTTCATGTATGTCTTTAAAAAAGAACAATTAAGATGTTTCTGCTTTGAACCTGTTCTGTCCGTTTGTAGAAAAAATATTGAAAAGCTGGAAAGGATCTAATTTAACAAGTTAAAATGACAATTTCTGTTCCAGAGATCTAAGCTTTAAGGAGTCTCTCCCTTGAATACAATGAAGACACATTAAGGAGGACTATTAGGTAAAGCCAGCGTACTAATGTCTTTTGTGCGAACTAATTCAACATTTCCTTCTTAATCTTCATCACTTTCCCCCCCCCCACTCCCCAGCTCTGGAGCTGGCAGATTAGCTGTTCAACCAGTTTGCACAGGGATAGGCATAAAGTCACAGAAATAAATGCTAACTCTTATGTTGTTGGGAAACAGAGAAAAACTAGGAGAAAATTAAATGGCATCCTTTATCATGAAGTATAAGGGTACAACTGCATAGCTAAAGAGAGTTAATTGCAATCTTCATAAACAGAGTCAAAACAAATAAGGCCACCACCCCCTTCTGTCTCTTATATCTGTTGTTAAAACTTTAAAGTGTTTCTTTCAAAGTTTCACAACTAAATAATCCATCAATCCAGGGCAGCTTCTGCTCCAGAAATAATCTGGGATTTGAAGAGCTAGATAGACTGAAAATCTAATCTAGAGGGGTGATTTTAAATATAGCATCACAAAATTTCCAGTTCCAGATCAGTTTACCAAGTTGCAGATCTAAATATTACAGCCATACATTGATGAAGAGGTAAACAAAAAAAGGCAGTAAGAACTGAAAGAACTCTTAGATCCTGTGACATGTATCCCCTTCCAGGAGATCCTATCAATCACCTATCCCTGCTCCTTAGATTTCTGTAGTCTATTATCTTGGAAATGTTTTTTATTTACATACCAAAGCAACAAAATGAAGCAGATTCATTCCAGGCTTGTTTGCTTTTGTATCTGCCAGCTTGAGTAATGATGACAATTTAAAGCCAACTGCATTGCCAGCATAGCCTCCCTAAAGAGTAGGAGTGGGGAAAAGGCAAAGGCAAAAAGAGGCATGAGATGGCAATCTACAACACTAGAAATCATTCCCCATCCCCACTGTGCAGGATCAGGCTTGTACCACTTACTGCATTCATAATATTGCCAGCTTGAAGGACCAAGTGCAGTATGGAATGCAACTCTTCACAGCACATAAGCTCTGCAAAAGAGAAAAGAATCTAAATCCACTGGTTATTTAGAAGGCAAGTATCTAACACTTTCAAATGGAATCTTCTCACAGATTAGTTAATGTAAAATGTATTTGGGATATAAAATTAAATCTGATTTGCCCAAGCAAAGGAGGGAGGCAAAAGCCTATTGAGAAGGCTTGAGCATTAATTTGTGTTGGATCCAAAGAAGGGCATACAAAAACAAAACCAAAAAAAAGCTGGCATAAGTTAATTTCTCATCTCTTCCTTCTCCCCTTCCCCATAGATTCTCAGTCCTCACAAATGCTTCTTCTGTGGATTGGGAGACCCAGATAAATAGGGTGGGTTGTAATGCCATTGCCATTTAGGAGATGCCCAGAACTAAACAGTAGGGGTGGTTCAAGGAATATAACTTTGCCAATTTCTCCTGGGTCACAGCCAATCATATTTAAGAATAACTTCTCTGGAGAAAGGAAGGCACAGAAAACTCATTTTCCAGCATTCCTCTGAATCTTTACTAAGTCCAACTACCAAAGGCATATTGATTATTTTAGAGCCAACTCCACAAAGAGTTTACTGTGAAGAACGTTGTTACGTCACAGTGGTGTGTGTAACAACCTGAAAAGTGCCTTAACTGATCAGTCTTTAACATCACAGCAAAGGTCATTAAATGTTCTCATTCAATTGTGCCTCTAAAAAAAGTGGGACTGCATGATTAGGCGAGTCGCATATGTTCGCCCAAAGCAATTTAAATAGTTAGCTAATATAGAAGACAGAAAAAATAAACAAGCAGTTTATGCATCAGTAAGCAGTTCTACCAATGTGCTTTTTAACTTAATACTGAACTCAACAATGGAAGCAAACATATCATCACTTCCAGATTCCAAGCACCCTACAGTCCTTGTCTCATTGATTTGTTATTCCTCTGCAATGAATGTGTGACACAAAAACTAATGTTAATTATTCTGCAGATTTTATACCATTTCAGAGATAATGGCTAAAGGCTAATTTGGACATAGTAGGTTTCTCGAGGGAGTGACACATATTGTACATAGTAAAAGTGTAGAAATAACCAGTTGCTTAGCATATTACATCATACTAGAGGATGCCCACTGAATCAATAGTGGATTTTATGAACCAACTCCTCCATAATTTCCACTGATTCAAATGGGCCTACTCTAACTGCCACTTATTTTAGCACAGTAAATCACAGTTGGAGTAAACCTATTTGAATCTATGGAACTTACAGAGCAGCTGACTCATCAAATTCCAATTGATTCCGTTGGCCTCCTCTAGTGCAATTTATGATGCTAAGCAACAGAATTTTAGCCACTGAAAGTACTGTAGTTGAGTGATTGGACTTCCCCTTCCCCAAGCTTTCTATTTTTTTCAAGTTGCAAGTAAACCCTTATTTATCTTTGCTCCATAAATCTTTCTACCCTAAAGTCATCACTACCCACCACTTCAAGACTGTTTCTCTTTCCTTCATCCTACAAATAGCCCTGCTCTTGCACTTGGCTTGCAGCTAGAGATAAAAGACCAGACAGAGCATATTTAAGCCATAGTGGGCACTGTTGCCAAACAGATGCAGGAGAGAAGAGATAAGCAGTGTGGAGATAAGGCATGGGATATTAAGAATCACAGTGTGAATATGTACATTACACAGTGGTCTTCATTCAATGCATCAAGACCCACTCTAGGTCAAAACCTGATGGGAATCATAAGAGCAACCTTGCCACTATAGAAATACACGGCCAAAAAACATAAACAAGACCTAGAACAGAAACATAAAGGTAAAAAGAAAAGGAAGATAAAAAATTAAGGAAGACGAAAATGTTGTGACACCTTAAAGACTAATTGCTATACAGTATTTTAATGTGAGCTTTCGTGGACAAATGCATTTTGTCAGACAAAGAAGGCAGTAAAAGTGGGGCTCACTAACAAGATACATGCACAGAGAGCACTATTCCCCAAATGGTAAGTTACTACAAATTACTAGTAATTTACAAATTACAAGGAAACAAGGCAAATGTGAATTCTCTCCCTCTCTTCCTCCCTCGGAGGGAGGGGGGGAAGAGTAGAAAATTGACTCCAATAACTGCGCAAAAAACAGAAGAAGAAGTGCAACACACACCAGACTGATAACATACACACACCCTTATGGAATGTGTCAGAGCTAGCTTGCTTCCTTTAAATAGCTATAGGGATCCTGAAATTCCGGATCTCATCACTGTAGTTAGGTTGATTAACCTGCTAGGGCAAACAAGAGCCTAATGCATGCTGCAGCATGTTTAATTACCCTTTGTAGCCATTCTTATAATTGTCATGTCTTTCTGCAGAGAAGTACAAGATGGCGAGAACTCTTTTTTTAACACCATGGCTTCGAGTCGCAGTGAATAGCTGAAAACAAACAAAAAGGCTTTAGAACTGGCATACAAGAGAGTGAGAGAGTTAGTTTATGGGTGAATAGGACCAGGTTAGTTTTCTTACTTTGGCACCTGGATTAGCATGTACATAAAAGAATCTGGTTGACACAGTTTTGATAAGTCTCCATTGAAATCCTTTAACTTCTTTACCTAGGGGAAAAGAGGCAGAAGAGAGAGAACACAATTACATATAAAGGATAATCGGGCAAATGTTATAATGATTTTTTCAAATAGACTTCAACATAATTACTAACACATATTAAGAAAACAGAAAAACTGATTTTGAGGCTGGAACTCGAGATTGTATTGGATGACTGCTCTGAAAACAACCATGTACCTTGTACCTCGCTGCTATTCCCCAATGGTACAAAACACAAGATATGAATTTCCCCTCCCACAATTTCCTTCTATTATTATTTGCAGGTAAATTTTGCATATTACTATGACCATAGACCCCATCAGGCCCAGCCAGCATGTTTAGTAGTGTGAGATCAGGATAGGGGAAGTCTAAAACATCTGGAGCATATCCAGTTGCAGAAGCTTGATCCAAAATATTTCTCATGCACCAAATATTAACATGTTCTGAATAAGCCAATAACTTCTCTGCCTTATGTCCCCACATACAATAAATTCATAATGTTGCTGTAGGGTAGCAAAAAAGTATCAATGAACAAATATATTGGTGGGGAAAGCAGAACCCTGGTCTTTGCAAGAATTAAATGTGCTCATTTGATTGCTTAATGACATTGAAGTCTTCTTTCTGATAGGTATCAGGCAGTCAAAAGATGAGAAAATCAATCTCCACGTTGTCACAAATTTGGCAAAATGCACACACACCTGGCAGTTAATAACATTTAGTGCTACAAGACAGCATGAGACAGCTTGCCAACACATTAGCATGTAAGAGATAAAACAAGTTGTGTCTCATTTTCTTTCTCCCTCTCTTTTCTCTCTGCGTTTCTCCTTTAGGGGGACAATTTCATACATTCTTGGCTTCTGCTCAAACAAGGATACGTTTATTATTTTTGAAACATGTAAGTCTCTCCATTGACACAGTTTACAATATGAGGGTGGTTCAACAGACTGTGAAGAGTATATTTAAAAAAAAGGTAGATCAGCAACAATGATCATCACCCCAAGTAACAAAACTTGGCAATGGGCTCTCATAGAAGATTAGTGCTTAAAGTAGAATTTACATTCCAAAATATCAAAGTGGGTTTGGCATATGGCATGAAGTGAAATAGTACTGAATTTGGTGTTTGTGCACACCCACTCACCCACTCCCAATCCCAATGGTTCCCAACTTTGGGTAACCCAGATATTTTTTTGGACTGCAGTTCCCAGAAGCCTCCATTAGCTGTATTACCCAGGATTTCTGGGTATTGCAGTCCAAGAACAACTGGTTCACCCAAGGTTAGGGACCACTGTAGAAGAACCGGAGAAACGGGGGTGGGGGGGGAGAGAAAAAGACCCCAGCACTTTTTTTTCATTACAGAAATAATAAAACAATGCCTTACCAGGGACAGGCACATTGAGACAGACATATTCCTTAAATCATGGCAAAAAGGCACAGCCATCAGAAGCCTAATCCTCATATCCTGTTCTATTTCCCCCTGCTCAAGGCTCACTAACCTTGGCTCAATCAAACCCAGACATACGTGGTGCTGATTGCTAAAAATTACAGAACCTATTCCTTCCAAGAAGTTACACTACAACCCCCATCAGTGCTGCCTGTGCATGATGGAGAGTTGCAGCCCAACACACATGAGGATGATAGATCATCATAGGCATCCTTCAGTCTCGAGAGACTATGGTAATGTGCTCTGTATGGAGAATTTGGAGCAGCGTCTAGTGTGGCTGAGAAGGCCAATTCGAGAGTGACAGTCCCTTCCACACTGAAGACAAATCCAATCTGTCCCCTGTCTGGCTCCCTGCTTTTGCTGCTTTTGTGACTTCCTCTTTGCCTCGGCCTGCTGGGCAAGGGTCTCTTCGAATTGGGAGAGGCCGTGATGCAGTGCCTGCCTCCAGGCTGAACGCTCAGATGTCAGGTTTTCCCATCTGTTGAGGTCTATTCCTAAGGCCTTCAGATCTCGCTTGCAGATGTCCTTGTATCGCAGTTGTGGTCTCCCTCTGGGGCGCTTTCCCTGCACTAATTCTCCATACAGGAGATCCTTTGGAATCCGACCATCAGTCATTCTCACGACGTGCCCCAGCCAACGTAGACGTCGCTGCTTCAGTAATGTATTCATGCTGAAAATTCCAGCTCGTTCTAGGACTACACTGTTTGGAACTTTGTCCTGCCAGGTGATACCAAGAATCCGTCGGAGGCAACGCATATGGAAGGTGTTCAGCTTCCTCTCCTGCCGTGCACAAAGGGTCCAGGACTCACTGCAGTACAGGAGTGTGCTTAGGACACATGCTCTATAGACCTGGATCTTCGTAGCCCAACACACATGAGGACGATAGATCATAGATGGCTAGAAAAAGGCCTAATCCCCATTACGAATCTGCACATAGTTATTTAATCATGAGGCACAGTTATTTCATTATGATCTGCATAAACAAGAATCCACAAATTCAAAGGTTACTGAACCTTCCAGTAGAAAATGAGAGGTAGAGCTGGGTGTCCAGCTCTAGTACTTCTCCAGTACTTTGTTCCTTTAAAAGCCAAACCTATACTCCAGAAATCAGAAATTGTACCAATCACAGAATTCCCCAGCCAGCTATGCTCTGCTATAGTCTGAAGATTTTTAAGCTTAGAACAAACTTTTGTGCACATTCTCTTTCTTATGTTGTGATCATTACTATTAAGACAGCTACTGGGTCCAATATAGGAATGGCAACACACTGATGATATTCACATGGGTTCAATGGATCACAAGACATCCCTGGAGGTGGTGGGCACAGAAAGCAAAACACATCCAAATGTCACTACACAGTGTGTTAAAACCAGCCACAAAAGCACATGTCCTGTTACCAAAGTGTGTGAATTGGATCTTTGAAAGGTATTAGGTCCACCATCTATTTTAGAACGAAAAACACTTCTATAATAAAAATGATCACAAACTCCTAGTAAGAATTTTCTTCTATATTCTGAATTGGGATAGGCAAGCATTACTTTTATTTATCTCAGCACTATGAAAGCCATCCCTGTTTAATTGATGCTATGCAGGAATCATGAATGTGTCATCAGGAGGCTGGGCAATGGGGAAAATGCAACAGGTACAACCCATGTGTTTCCTATGACCATATCACTCCAAATGTGTCTCATTTTGGAAGCTAAGCAGTGTGAGGCCTGGTTATTATTTGGATGGAAGATCACCAGGGAATACTATGCCTAGAGAGGACTAGGAAACAATTCTGCCTGAAAGCCTGACAAACCACCATCAGAACTGGCAAAATTGGAACAAAAGGAACAATGGTCTGATAGGCCAATGGTATGACTCAGTAAGGCAACTTTTTATGTTCCTGTAAGTCAACGGCTTATCTGAATTATATAGGATTTTGCTGTGGTGGTGGGGAAGATCCTCTTCTTCTATTAGCATATGTTATAAACATGTCTAAACAGTAACTTTAAAAGACCAAGCAGATGGAAGGAGAGAACCCATCTTTCCCCTTCTATTTGTTCCTTCCTATTTCTTTAAGATATTTAAAGAGTCAAAATGATAGTTCATGCTTTTGCAAAATTTTGCAGAAATGAGGTACTGACATTCTGGCAGGCTTGAAGCAAGGTAAAGTGGTGTTTAGGTGCCTATTGACTAGAACTGCAACTATGTTATCGAAGCGTGATAAATATACATTAGAGGTGCTTAGTTACTCCTTTCCTGTTGTGGTGTTGGAAGTCCTCTACAAACACCTTTTTATTAAATGTTCAGTCTTGCTTAGTGTACTGGTAGTGTACATGTCAAAAGGGTGAAGAAAAGACTACACCTAGGAGGAGCAAGGCAAAAGCCAACAATAGAATAGGCTAGGGAAAGCTGCTGGGGGAAAAGGGGATGCTTAAATGAGAGCCAAGCTGACTGGGGAATTCGCAGAGCTGCAGACCAAAAACACAAACATTTCCAAGCAATGGTGTTGAATGGTTGAAGCAAGGATAGACACCATGATGTACAGAAATGGGGGTGGGGGGAACTGCCTTAGGTTTTAAAAGTAGCATGGTAAAACATGTGAGATAACAGAGTTTTAAGGTACATATCTCATACAAGAAGTGAGCTCAGCAAAGAGAACCTAGCAAGATGGTAATTAACAGGATGTGAGGAGGACTAAAATGTAAGGACAGAAGCTAGGCATTGATAAAGAGAGGACTACGCATTTAATATAGAGTGGGAATAAAAAGAACCAACTAGAATACCCAAGGAATCTTGAGTACTGTCCCCTCATTGGGGTTGCATGATCTCAAAATAAATTTCTCTAGTGGCAGTTTTGCAAGTATTGTATACGTTTACATGTGTGTGGTTTTTTTAAAGGAGGATTGGCGAGTTGTAATTTTTGTATTCAGTCTGAGGAGAACCACCCTTCAGAAAGACAAAAAAAGTCAAGTTTATGGGCTTGAAGGGAATATGAAATGTTGGGGTAAATGGTGAAGTTCTTTGTAAAGCTGTAGCAAAAATCATGTAAATAGGAGCGCCTAGAAATTTTATAATGAATGTCATAGATTATGAAGACTTTTCACTGAATGCTGAAAAAGTAAGATTACTGCAGCTAATACAGAACAGCCACCAACTGAGATGGGAGCATGGAGAGGAGAAACAGGGAATGTAGGAAGTTCAAAGCTGAGAAGAAAATTGAAATATATCAGGCAGGACTTTTTAAAGGTGTCATGTCCATGGATGTTTTCCACAGAACTCAACATTAACATGTTTGAACTTGAACACCTTATTACTGCAGTCTAGATACATTAAGATATTCACAGATTTCTCACTTCCACAAGTTAAAGACTGAACATGCTAGAAACTAGCATGTTAATAATTAAGCCAAGATTGCAGTTAAGACAGCATATAGAAACAAGGCATTGCTTTTAGAACTTGGACTTCGAAGGAGGACATTTTTATTATCTTAGTGGCTTGTTCCTTGCACCATAAGTTTGAGCAAGTCATTGTATTTGATCTTGGACACATACTGAAGTATATATTTTTTTTCTTTTGCGTTCAAAAAAAATTGTGTTCAAAATTTCGAAGGAGGACATTTTTATTATCTTAGTCGCTTGTTCCTTGCACCATAAGTTTCAGCAAGTCATTGTATTTGATCCTGGACACATACTGAAGTATATATATATTTCTTTTGCGTTCAAAATTTATCATGTTTTTCATGTAGGCAGAATTTAGAAGGTAGCAATTGTAAATCCTCATAGGACTTTGCTCTTTCCTATGAATATCCCCAAAAGTCTACAGATAAACAGTCCCTGAAAAGGTATGCCAGCAAGAACTAGCTACCCTTAAGGTTACCACTGTTTTTGTTGGGCTTTGCTGCAACACACTAACATGAAGCCTTGATATGGTTATAATTTTTTTGGTCCCTGCCATCCCAACTCTCAGACGATAAGACATTTCACGAAGAGCTGAATCTCATCTCTGATTCTATACTGGGTTTCAGAGCCCAATCCTCCTTTCCGAAGTACAGCTTGAAGTCATACATTGCAAGCACCTACCTGAGACATCCTCCCTGCCCCATCAAACAGCCCAATTCTGGGAAAGAGGAAGAGTCTGAGCTGCATTTTGATGCTAGGAAGTTGGAAATCAGCAAAGTTGATTGGCAGGAGGACAGGATGTTCTCACGGGGACTGACTTTGTGGGTTTTTGTTTATGCAGATTTGCTTTAGTTTACATTGTTATAGAATGAATCTTTCATTGATTCAGAGTTGGTTAGTGTACAGACTTGTTTAAAGGTGACAGTCATGCTTCCAATGCCATGAAACCTTTTTTTTTAACCAGTGTCTCTACCTACATGCACATGGCACACATTCCAGTTACCACCTGGTTTTTATCCTCCTCATCTCTCTGTTCAGGAACACTAATCAAAACAGGAGTTTTCTTACATCAGTGAAGTAAGTCCCAAGCGAAGCACTGTACTTCGAATATAATGCTATACTGTGGGCAACTGGTGCGCCTTTTTCCTCTAGTCCAAATTTGGCACAGACAATCCTTCCACTCTCCTAGGATAAGCAGTTATTAGAGATTGGCACCTTTTTAAAGGCAAGTTTTTGCAATTTGTAATTTGTCAAGATTGATGAACCACAAATCACAAGTTTATGATTTTTTTTCCTGACAAATTGATGTTAATTCATCTTGATTTTAAAACCCTATAAATTCCCCCTAGCACCTAGAAACACCAAAATTGCAGAGACACTTCTCCTGACTCTCCCCTACAATCCCTGCAAGTTTGGTGAAGATTGGGTTTCGGACATCTGAGTTATACACCCACAAAGTGGGTCCCCCCCCAGGAAATTCCCCTTTGGCAGCTGGTTTGTGGCAGTGCTGGAATTTCCCCAAGCCAACTGCTAAAGGCCACTTTCCTGGGAGGGACCATTTCGGTGTCCCTAGGTGCCTATGAGGGACTTTCCTGGGGGAACCCTCTTTGTGGATGTATAACTTGGACATCCAAAACCCAAACTAACTTGCAGGGCTTATAGAGGAGTCAGGGAAAGGCTCTCTGAAATTTCAGTGTCTGTAGGTGCCTGTGTGTGTGTGGGGGGGGTGTTTTAGAGCCCAACAAACTGACAAATCAAAAATCATTAAAAATCATTTATTTATGTTCATTTGGGGCTTTGCTTCTAATGAATACAAATTGAGGAATTAGCAGTTATTCAGAAAAAATTACTTTGCAATTAATGTTTTAATTTGTATCCATCTCTAATAGTTATTTGTCTCTGTTCACTTCAATGATGGTTGCGATATAACCCTCCTCTTACCTCTTCTGTTTCTGGCAATAGCTTGAGAAGTTCACGTAGGATCTCACAGCTATAGAGATCACTTCTTCCTGAGTGAAGATCATCAATTATACACTGAAAAGATCTTGGTAGGGAAATATAAAGATAATATATTTAAGCTTAGGAAAGGTGCTACTTCCAGATATTAAATCTTACACATTTTTCTGAGCATCGGATTCTATGAGAGTTTCATTCTAGTACATTATTAAATGGCAACATGTTAACATGCACACAAAATATCGCTTTGCAAACTCCACTTAGGTCTCCTACAACTTTGCTCCTTATATCTAAGAAGAATAGTGCCCAATCATTACACTTATGCTATTTTCACATAAAATAAAAAGTTTTAGAAAAACTGTTGCAAGTTTTTTAAAATCCACAATTAAAAAAGAAATTAGAAACAATTTTCAGTTAGACATGTAAATTGTCCCCTGCCTAACATTACAAATATGGTGCCATGGACTGGAACTTGAGATGATGACAAATATACGAACCACCATATCTGCCAAACAGACAAATTAACTCTGTTTCAAACCAGATTAAGCCTGCAGCTTTATTACTTGTGGCTAAATATTTCTCCTTTCCTGCCATGCTTATTTCATCATGTTTGAGATCTGAGATGGGGTACAAAATCTTACTTTTTAAACTGTTTGAGAAATATCCCAATGTTCATACTTCTTTTGGCATCCAAAATATTAATCTGGAAAAAAGATGACAACAAAACACATTAAAAGGCTTGTTCAAACAGTACACTCTTTAATCAGGCTGGATTACACTGCTTACATTTTCTGGCAAAGCAAAGCAGAAACATTCATATCAAAAACAATAATAATTGTGTAGTTACGCTAGTACACAAGTCACACCATTTGAAGAGTTTAAACTTAAAACCAGATATTTTTAAACTAGAAATTTGGACAAAACTCTAACTAGGCATCTAGGTTACTTCTACACTTAATTCAGAGTACAGTAGTGGTGTTTTGTTTGCTTGCTTTAAAAAGAGAAAAGAAAAGGAAGAAAGTGCAGAACAGCTTGGACCAAACTGACCTGAAATACTCTCTTTGACTTCTGCTGCATATACCTGTCTAGACCCTAACATTATTTTTACAGGCGTCTCTCCTGATTTTCATAACAAATGAGACAAGGGAGGTAGTTTCTGGAGAAAGGGTCTTTCAAAATTTAACTCCAAACAAGATTATGATGCAGAAATTAGAAATATAGGAACTGAAGAGAAGGGAAATAAGACTTGCTATTGATGGGTCAATTCATTAAAAAAAGACACCTTGAACTGACTTTTTACTCTGCTAAAATACTATAAAGATCTTAAAATTTGAGCAGCTTTATTACTTGTGGCTGTTACTTGTTTACTGTTAAAATAGTAAAATAGCAAATAGAAGATGCTAATAGAAAGTGCTGTACTGCAGCCAAAACTGTGCTCACGACCTAGGGTTCATTCCCAGGTAGCCGGCTCAAGGTTGACTCAGCCTTCTATCCTTCCAAGGTCAGTAAAATGAGTACCCAGATCACTGGGGGTAGGGGGGGGAGAATGTGTAGCCTGAATAGTTAACTTGTTAACCGCCCAGAGAGTCCTTAAAGCGCTATGGGGCAGTATATAAGCAGCATGCTTTGCTTTGCTTTTTTGATATGGAAAATGTTAACATGAATAGTTTCCTTTTGTTACTATATGCTATTTCAAACATACATGTTACAAGGAACTTAGGAAATTTGCTTCATTGTACTACAGCTCCCAGAACTGTCAGGTCAAAATGGACTTTGCAGGTTGAATTAGAGGTTCTTGGAATTATAGTTTTAAAAGAAGAGCAAGTGAGAGCAAGGGGGGAGGGAACAAACCAGAAAACAGCTTTTCCACGTTCTGATATTTTACATGCAGTCAATACCTTTTTCCACACATATCTATAGTCTTCCAAAGGTAATATTGTCCTCATGACAAAGGTTATATCTGACCTGTTCTCTGGTGTTTTCCTGAACGCCCTCTTGCTTATTCCTAAGACTGTTAATACTTTTGGTTAAACTAATAAATAGAGATGGGAGTATTCGTATATGAATGCTACTATCCCTGCACTGGTGGAAATAACGAGGGTTCGGTCCCATGGGGCCGGACTCTCCACTCACAATTTTGCAGCTGCCGCTGGCTCCGCAGAGGCTTCCGTTATTCGCAATCGATTACGCTGGCTCCGCAGAGGCTTCCGTTATTCGCGATCGATTACTCACTCCTGGCCTCTCTGCCAGGTCACACAGTGGCTAATCCATTGCGGAGAACAGCATGATAGGAAGCCACCACGGAGCCAGCAGCAGCGGAGAGATCGTGACTGGACAGTCGAGCCTCACGGGGTTGGACCCTCGAGGAAGCCACCACGGAGCCAGCAGCAGCGGCGAGATCGTGACTGGACAGTCCAGCCTCATGGGGCTGGACCCTCATTATTTCCACCTGTGTGGAGATATTTGTATACGAATACCCCGATCTCTACTCGTAAATATGGGCTAGGAAAGATCTGAAATGGCATTTACATGGAAACAAACCCTTTCAAGAGCACTTGGACCTTTCCCAAGGTAAATGGGGCTCTTCAATGCCAGTTTTAAAGTTAGTGTGTGACAATGACACAAGACCATTGCCTGTTTGCCCCCCCCTCTCACACACACACACAGAGGGAGGGAGGGAGAAACAGGTAGTAGCTTAGAACACATAGCAGATAAAATCCTATTTAGTAAAGCTGCACTCATAAAAGCTGCTGATATCATCAACCACATATGCTAATATTTAATTTAAAGTTTCCTACCCATCCCCAGGTTCTGAGGGTCCCTAGGTATCCCTTTGAACCTAGGAAAGCTTTTTGGGGCTCAATATAGAAAGGGGACCCTTTAATGTCTGAAATTGCCACTGTTAATCCCACTAAGTTACCCATCTGTTTAGTGGAGATATTTGCACCTTGGTGGAACTGCACTGTACTAAAGATTAAGATCATGAAAAGAATGAAACCTCTGTAGTAAAGGGCAAAAACTCTAATTTGTTCCCAAGGATGAGATTTTCAATGTTTACTGTGCAGTGACATTTTGAACCCCTTACTTTGCTGATCCATGCACAGTATTTTCTTCTGTTTTTGCCATCTCAGCACTCGCCCTAAAACTTTCTTAGTGGATATTTAACTGCAACACTCAAGAAATAAGCAGCCACCCTATAGAAAATTCTAAGTGGAAAAGAACTTAATTAGCTTATCCAGGAAGCAAATCATCAAAACCCCTTACAAGGGGCTTTAAAGAAACAACACCTTTGCATCTTCTCTCTCCCCTTCCACAGAAGAGTGGGATGACACTTTTTACATCCCAATATCATAAAGTGGCTTAAGCAAAATGTCTACTTAAGTCATCCTCTTTGGTTTGAGCCCAGTGATCGCACATGCTGGAAATGAACCAAAGCAAGGGGGTCAAGAGATAAAAGGAACAACAGGTAAGTTTGGCCCTGGAGTTCAAAACAAAGCAGGGCAAAGGCTAATAGAGTTTTGTCAAGAGAACAAGCTGGTCATCACAGACACTCTTTTTTCCAACAACACAAGAGGCAACTCTACACGTGGACATCACCAGATGGGCAATACCGAAATCAGATTGATTATGTTCTCTGCAGCCAAAGATGGAAAAGCTCTATACAGTCAGCAAAAACAAGACCTGGAGCTGATTGTGGCTCTGATCATCAGCTTCTCATAGCAAAAGATTAAACTGAAGAAACTAGGAAAAAACACTGGGCTAGTCAGGTATAATCTAAACCAAATTCCTTATGAATACACAGTGGAAGTGAAGAACAGATTTAAGGAACTCGATTTGGTGGACAGAGTGCCGGAAGAACTATGGATGGAGGCTGGTAACACTGTACAGGAGGCAGCAACAAAAACCATCCCAAAGAAAAGGAAATGCAAGAAAGCAAAGTGGCTGTCCAACGAGGCCTTACAAATAGTAAAGAAGGGAAACAAAATGCCAGGGAGATAGGGAAAGTTACAGAAAATGGAATGCAGACTTCCAAAGAATAGCAAGGAGAGACAAGAGGGCCTTCTTAAATGAACAATGCAAAGAAATAGAGGAAAATAATAGAAAGGGAAAAACCAGAGATCTGGTCAAGAAAATTGGAGATATTAAAGGGACATTTTGTGCAAAGATGGACATGATAAAGGACAAAAATGGGAGGGACCTCACAGAAGCAGAAGACATTAAGAAGAGGTGGCAGGAATACACAGAGAAATTATACCAGAAAGATCTGGATGTCCCGGACAACCCAGATAGTGTGGTTGCTGACCCTGAGCCAGACATCTTGGAAAGTGAAGTCAAGTGGGCATTAGAAAGCATGGCTAACAACAAGGCCAGTGGAGGTGATGGCATTCCAG